CCCGGGATCCAAACGGGAATAAACCCGAGATCCAGCCGGGAATAAACCCGGGATCCAAACGGGAATAAACCCGAGATCTAACCGGGAATGATCCCGGCATCCAACCAGGAATGAGCCCGGGATCCAGCCGGAGCCCCCCCGAGCCCCCCACCATTATCAGGGGATTTGCAGCCCGTGTGGGCAGCAGGGCTGTGGGAACTGGGGCTCCCGGTACCGGATCCCAAACCGGTGGCAAAGTGCCATTAATAACGCACAATTTTTTGTTTTATTTATTGCTTTAAATCAACGTCGAACTTTCTCTGCCTCTCCAGCTGTGCAGAACTGAATTAATTCTTCTCCCGTCCTGTATTAGATATTCTGTGGCCTCTGCTGGAGTCCCTCTCGCAGCAGTGAGGTCCTGGAGCTGCGTTCTCAGACCAGGCCTTGCTCACAGATAGATCCTTACACCTGAGTTACACCTGAGTTACACCTGGCATGGGGAATTGGGGAATTTTAGCTCCTGGGGTCACACTGTGGCCGAGGAGCAGCAGCCAGGCGATGCAGACATCCCTGCAGAGAGCATTAGCAGGGACAGGTTCTCTGGGCTTGCCCTCTGCCAGCCTCTCCTGACCCCTTTCTGTGCTCCTGAGGTGGCCCCAAAACTCCGGGAATTGCCTGGATTTGGGGAGACTGGCAGGGATTTTGTTCCAGGGGAGCAGAGCCCCCACTCAGCCTCTGCAATCCGAGCTGCAGATGGAGCCCTGAGCTCCAGACCCCACAGCGAGCTCCAAATTTGGGCTTTCCACATCCACATTCAACTGCGAGGGCTCCAGCAGCCTGAGCGAGCTGATGCTCATCCCCTTCTTGTCCTCCCTGCCCCCGAGGTGCCCTTGAATGCCATAAAAACCATCAGGATGTGGTTGGTGCTGGGAGGACAGGGCCGGGATGCAGCCGGATCCATCCCGCCGCACGGCTCATGCGGGCGCTTCTCCTACAGAGGGCAGAGGAATATCAGGAATTCCCATCGCCTCCGCCGGGCTCCCGCAGCCGGGAGAAACCTGGCAGGCACCGCGAGGGAGCGGCTGCAAAAACCCAAACATCGCCGTGCCCTTCCCAGCCCCGCTGGGACCCTCCCTGACACTGGTACCTTGATGGCAAAATAAAGCTGGATTTAGAGAAAACCCAATGTTTACTGAAAACGCACGTTTTCACAGCAAACCGCCCTCACCAAGCTTTAAAATACCCAACAGCAAAAAATCCAACTCAGTTTTGAGTTGTATTTATTGTTGAGTTTGTATTTATTTTATCACTGCAGGATGGATGACTCTAATGCTCTGCATCATCGGTGGTGGGGGATACCCCTTCTCCAGCAATGAGACATTAAGCACCGATTTTAATTTGTTTATTTATTTATTTATTTACAAAGAAAAATTATTTATTTATTGGAAAAACCAGAAAACTTATAAACCAGGAGGCATGCACAGTGTATCTTCCTTGCCTTTGCTTCTAGGTTTTCCTTTTTTTGTACCCTTTGAGTTTGTTGTTGGTATTTTGTTCCCAGATGCCACCATAAACAAAGGGAGGAGCCTGGAGAAAGAAATCCGTGGAAAATTAAGTAGCAGGAGCAAGTGCTTACCTGTGCAGTTACTGCTGAGTAACCAACCACTCACACAACCAGAGAACTAGTGCCAAGACTCCCCTGCATAATTGCATTTTCAAACCTCTGCACTCTTGGAGTGAAAAAGGGATGTTCTCTACCCTCACAAATAATGAATTGCGCTGTTAATGAAGGGAGAGAGGCTTTTAGTGATGGTTAAATAAAACAGACCCAGCAGAATTAATAAAAAATACAAGTGAGTTGCATTAGTCCTTTGGAGTAAAAAATGAGCTCCTTGAAGTCCCAGCGTTTTTGATACCCAGGCCACCGAGATCAGGATTTCACCCACTGAGACTAATGGGACAATTGCTCCATATAAATCCCAAAGGCAGCAATGCATTCAAATCCACATCCCACAGCTGTGAGCCCAGGGGGCCTGGCAGAGC